ATTCTCTCCAATAAATCTGTTTCTCATCCTGGTCTAAACATGACTATATTTAAAAGGTCTGATGTTTTAAAAAGAGTAATATCTGTTGGGCTGTTGAATTAGTAAGACTTAATTAGTAGTTCTTAATTAGAAGTTCAAAGCTTCTTTGTTTGCTGAAGCTTTACGCAGAAAGGCATGGGATAACCACTCTGTATAGTACTAAGTTCCTTCTCTCCCAGAGGTCCATGTCTTACAATTTTTTAAAAAAGTATGTTTATGTGTGTGTATAGTTCAGCAAAACTAAATAAAATATATAAAAAAGACTGAGGTTACGTTCAATGTTCTCTACTGATAATGTCTTACCTCTACAAAGAAACAGGGAGAAGTATCATGTACTTTCTTTGGGGCCAAGGTTGGTTATAATTTTGTAACATTGTGTTTCAATTGTTTTGTTTTTTTCCATTTATATTGCTGTAGTCATGTATATGGCCTTGCTGGTTCTGTTTACATCACTTGGCAACCATTCATAACGTCTTTGATGATTTTGTGTATTCATATAGCCATCATTTTTTCCAGAACAGTAATATTCCATTATGTTTGTGCACCACAATTTGCATGAGGAAATAGAGTGATTTTTAGCACTATAAACCACGTTTAGAACTTCTTACCACATTATTCTGTAGTCCAATGAGAAAAAAAATTCCTTAAAAAACTAAATCAGGTTCCTCTTTAAGCTAACAAGCATCACATGAAACATATTAGTTCACAAATGATGAACCTAACCCCTCTTTCTTAATGTCCTAAGACACAGGCTTAATAATTTGAATATAAAATCAATTGGACTATTACTCTAGGCTAAAAATTCCATTTTCCAACGGGGGGAAAGATCTCACAGTAATATCTGCATTGGCAATGAGACATCTAGTCAAAAGCCATATGACCCTGTAGGATGGTTTGTTTTTGTAGATTAAGCTAAATGAACCACAAAAAGAGAAAGATAGTATATAATACAACATAATATAGTATAATATAATACAACATAATATAGTATAATATATTACATAATATATTATATGATATTATATGAGATATGATATGATATGATATATGACATGTAATAGGATATAATGATACATGATACAATATATGATATATGATGATATGATATAATATATGATATAATAGTTAAAGTAGACTTTAATGTTCTTTTTTCAGAGCAAGAGCAATCTATCCAGAAAGATAAATCATAATTAAAAAACCCACCAAGCTTCCGAAGAAGATAGATCTGAAAGACTTACGATATCTTCTGAATTAAAGAATATTCGTATTTCTTAGCACCACATGGCACCTTTTCAACAATATACCATGTGCTAGGACACAGAGAAATTATAAATTTCAGATAATATGGCTTGCTCTACCCTATTCTCTTGGGGCCAGGCTTATTACATTCCATCAGGCTGCTCCCCCTGGGTTTTCTCTTTGCTGGACCAGTCGCACAATAAGTTTTGCCTGTTTCCCCCAACCCACTGCACCTCTGTTACTCCCTTCTTCTTTCGTTCCTGGACTGTTCTTTGCTGCCACCTGCTGGCTTTCCTATGGAGTCAGCTGAAGTGATCCTCTTTCCCTATAAGAGTGGGCTTTGCCATTTCTCTTTTAGTTTAGACCAAAAGCTAAGCTACAGTTTCACTTCTAGTAGACAGAGTAGGGGAAAGCAACTTCCACTCCCTACTTCTTCCTGATTTCTCCTTTTCATTGTCCTTTGTGGGATTCTCATACAGATCATGCTTTCTAACTAGGTGTCCCTCAAGGTTCTCTCTGTTGCCCTCTTCTCTTCTCCCTCTACCCTGCTTCACTTGGTGATCTCATCAGGTTCCATAGATTTTATTACCATTTCTATGCTGATAACTCTCAAATCTACCTTTCCTGCCCCACTTTTTCTGCTGATGTCTAATCTTGCTTCTCCAACTGCCTTTCTGACATTTTGAACTGGATTTCTAGTAGACATCTTAAACATGTCCAAAACAGAACTCATTATCTTTTCCCCCAAACCCTCTCCTGCCTCTTACCTTCCCTTTTACTGTAGAGGGCAATCCATCCTCAGCACCAACAACTGATAGTGCAGTGGATAGAGTGCTGGTCTTTACTTATTAACTGTGTGACCCTGGGCAAGTCACTTAACTTCTGTTTGCCTGTTTCATTAGCTGTAAAGTGGAGATAATAGCAGCATCTACCTCGTAGGGTCATTCTAATGATCAAATGAGATATTTCTAAAAGTACTCAAAAACATGCTGGAGAGAGAGAGAGAGAGAAGAGAGAGAGAGAGAGAGAGAGAGAGAGAGAGAGAGAGAGAGAGAGAGAGAGAGAGAGAGAGAGCGAGCTGATAGACTCAAGTGATGATTGAAGCACACATTCTTTTCTTAAACATAAAAATTTGGGGAGAGGCATGGCTAAATGCATGACTATACATATTTGTAATGGGTTTAGTTTTTCCTACTTTCTCAATGGGTAGAGGAAGGAGAGGGGGAGCAAGATAATTCAGAACTGAAAATAAAATTGAATTAAAAAAAAAAGAAAATGAGGGAGATACTGTCACTGCTATTCCATAATGACCTCAGCTAGTGGTGCAGCCAATACTCTGCAGCTTTCCTCAGTGGGACTTTGGGATTTGTCCTTTTCTTTTCCAGACAGAACAGGGGGCCACCACAGTGGCCTTTTCTTCTATGAGGGACTGCATATTTGACTGTGAAAGGGTAGTGTCCCTCAAAGTCCCTCACGTGTGTTGAGAAGACTTCTGCCACTAAATGCCATCGAGTCATATCAGTAATGTCCAGGAAAATATTTGCATCTGATCAGTTTTAGTCACAACATTTGGTGGGTCATACTTTACTTCCATTGTCATATACTTTCCCATAATGACTTGAATCAAAATGACAAAATGCAGACTAAAAGGGCATTTTAAAAAGAACGTTTTGCTTTTTAAATATCCTGTGACTTAAGGGGAAATCTTAGATGAATTGCATATTTGAAATATCTGATTACACAGGAGCTAATATTTTCATAACCTAATTATTAAAAATAAGCTAGCAAGAGTTTAGTCTGTTTTGTTCTTATGCCACCTGCTGTATTTAATACAATCTAAAAAGTTACTACAATTATTTAACCCCTGAAGGTGTAAGACGCATATATATATGAGTCACTAATTAAAAAAAAAAACCTAAAAAACCCCAAACCTTTGAAGATGAGGATTAGGACAGTGAGGTCTGTAGGAGTTTAATGAAAACTTGAATCCACCAAGATTTCATTTCATGTTATACTGTGTATGTATGGAACACAATGCTGAAAAAGGATCTACACACACAAGGAAAAGCTTACAACATCAGTGTATGTGATTGAAGTTTAGAAAACAGGTAAGAACATAAAGTGGCATGTTACATTGACCTTAAAGGGATTCACAGACAGGCTGGAAAAATTGAGCAATTCATTTGTAGTTGAACTCTAGTTAGCAAAAGAATCAGTAGACTCATGGGTCTGGGCCATATCTTTCTCTCCAAACTCATCCTTTCAGATAACCCTATCCTTGTAGGCTTATTGTTATCTTTTAATCTTCTATCATCCTGGATAGCTCATCCATTGCTCAATCTGAGTTTCTAACTCAACATCTCTCCCACCCCGCTCATGAGACACTGAGACTATTCCAATAGCCTTCCCATTGATCTCTGTTCCTCATCTTCCCCACTCTAAGTACCTTACACAGCTACCAAAGTAATTTTATTTAAAAAAAGGTCCAATTACATCACTCTTCCACTCAATATATATAGTGACTCTGCCACCAGGAGGAAATAAAAAGGTTTTTTTTTTGGCTTCTAAAGTTCTTGACAACCTGGCTCCAACCTACTTTCCAGCCTTTTATCACTCCCTTTCCCATTCTCTATGTTTTAGTCAAGCTGGACCTCTACTGGTTCCTCACATAACACAATGACTGTCCTCCACGCCTAAAACCCTGCCTCTCTTCCCCCTTCCCCTTCACGATTTAGCTCAAACACTACCTTCTACGAGAAGTATTTCCTGTGACTAGCTTTTTGGTGACTTCTCCCCAAACTTGCCCTGTATTTAATATTTTGTATATATGTCTGCACATGTTGCCTTGGAGCAGTGGTAATATGCACGAAGATGGAGGTTGATCAATGGAAAAGATTAGGTATACAATATAATAGGACAGTGGCAGAGTGGATACAGCGCTGGGCCTGGAGTTAGGAAGACACATCTTCCTGAATTTAAATCTGGCCTTGAACACTTGCTAGCTGTGTGACCCTGAGCAAGTCACTTAACCCTGTTTGCCTCATCTGTAAAATGAGCTGGAGAAGGAAATGGCAAACCACTCCAGTATCTTTACTGAAAAAACCCAAAATGGAGTCATGAAGAGTTGGCCATGAACAAAAAACACGTTGCTTTCCCCAGTGGAATGTAAATTTTTGACAGCAGGAATGGTTTCCTTTTCTTTCTTTTTATCTCTAGTGCCTGGGCATCATGCCTGGCACCTGGCAGTAAGTGCTTAGCAGTGCCTGATACATAGGTAACAAGACTGGCTAAGCTATCACGTACACAGTCCTTACTTCATTTGAATTGGGACATGGCATTTTGTTGCTTTTCAGTGGCTATTATAAAAAGGAGGTAGATTCTTAGCTCTGCTACTCATAAGGCACTTGCTTGACACATGGCTTCTTGAGGTCTGTTTTTCTCACTTGCAAAAATGAAGGGGATGAGGGCAGCTAGGTGGCACATTGGATAGAGCACCGGCCCTGGAGTCAGGAGGACCTAAGTTCAAATCTGGCCCCAGACACTTGACACCCTGAGCAAGTCACTTAACCCCGACTGCCTTGCAAAAAAATTTTTTTAAATGAAGAGGACGATCTCGATGAGGTCCATCCCACATCTAAAAATTCCCATTCTAAACCATGACATTACAAAAGTGTTTGGATAATTATTTACAATAGTATATTTAGTAAAATATTCACTCACAATTTTAAATTAATCCATCAAGGTTTATTTTATCTTCAAATATTTATTTACAAACTACATTCAAACATGGAAATATGCTCTTCAGCCTCCCAAGATTATGCCTAAGTAAACGAAAGGCATTGCGGCCCAGTGGATAGGCCCAGGTTCCAGTCCCATCTCTGACACACACACTGGCTGCGATCCTCGGCAACTCACTCAACTTCTTGGTGCTCTAGGCAAGTCTCAGGCGATAAACTGCAGAAAGGATGCCTACCAGCTCTGGCAGAAAGTTCCCTAACCAGGGAGTTTCCAATACCAACGAAACCACAGGTGCAGTCCTTGTTCCCTAAATGGGAACCAACACCCTGCCAATTCCCTGACCAGACTCCTGCAGTGCTGCATTGGCTAGTCTCACTTAACCCATGCGACAGAACACAAAAACTCCCTTCAAAACTCAGAAGGTGAGAAAAAGTAAAATTTCAACACTATCCACTGGCAGGTGTCCTTGGAGCTGTACAGCTTACATCCGCAACGCCTTTCATTCTTCTAAACGCCCCTTCATGTCCAATACTGATCTAGTGGTGGGCCGACGCAGCTCCGTGGTTTTCAGTGTTCTAAGTCTGCAGAGGCTGCACGTGGAGGGATCACTGCAAGTGAGGAAAGGTTCATTTCTGTGGGGGACCTCTCTGTAGCACATACAACATAGGTGTAAGCCTACTGGAAGCAGTTAAATGGGCAAGTCTGTTTTTTAAAACCCTAATTCTACATTCTGAAAAAATACAAAATTTGTGCAAAAGCTATACCTTACAGTGAAAATTTCTCACAAAAGTTATCAAGCTTTCTACACAATGCAATTAAAAACAACAACAACAACAACAATAAACCAGAGGTTGTGCTTGAAGTCATAGAAATGCCCTCACTGGATCAGCAAAATGCCTGTACAGTGCATTTATAATTACATACGCAGATTTTACATTCAAATTGTTTGAGAGGTACAAATCCTGGGAGTCTTTGCTAAGAAGCCCAAGATAGATAATTATCCTGAATTTCCTTTAAGAAACATAATAGCACTTAGTCCACAAAATTCACTCTCTTTTCAGTTGCTTCCCTACTAAGTCCTCATGAGATTTTTCTTTTATATCTCTTTAGTTTGATCATCTTCTTCAAGCTTCCTGATTTCATTTTTTAAACAATTGATAGTTTCACGACTTGCTTTTAATCTCTCTTTAAGTTCAGCAATTTCAAAGCTTGTTTTTTTCTTGGCAGCTTCTAATTTTTCTCTGGTTTTTACTTCAAGTTCAGCAACTGGGAAGAAAAAAAATGATAAATCATTTTTATTATTTTCATATAAAAATATCTCTAATACACATCATATGATTGTAGTTTAATTTTCAGATAAAAGTTTTCCATAATATTTAGCAAACATGGAAAATCAATCCTTAAAGTTTTATCTCACACTGAACAAATGTGTCTATTTTTACTTTTGCTTTGTCTGATATCATGATTGCTACCCATTTTTTTTCACTTCAGCTGAAGCATAATATATTCTGCTCCAGTCTTCTACCTTTACTCTGTGTGTCTCTTGTAAACAACATATTGTAGGATTCTGCCTTTTAATCCACTCTGCTATCCGTTTTCATTTTATGGGAGAGTTCATCCCATTCACATTCACAGTTACGATTACTGTGTATTTTCCTCCATCCTGTTTTTCCCATTTATACTTTTCTCTCTGTCTCTTCTTTCACCCTGACCTTCCTCACCAATGATGTTTTGCTTCTGGCCTCTGCCTCTCTCCATTTGCCCTCCTCTTTATCAGGCTACCTCCCTTTTCTTGTTCCCCTCCCCTCCTATTTCCCTATAGGATAAGATAGATTTCCATACCCAACACAGTGTGTTCCTTCTTTGAGCTAAATCTGATGAGAGAAGGTTCAAACAATGCTTACCTCTCCTCCCTTCTTTCCCTTCACTATAATAGGTCTTTCGCGCCTCTTCATGTGATATAATTTACCCCACTTAAGAAGAACAATTTTGAAAGTAATGAATTTACTATATATCTTTTCCCTGTTAATGAATAATTTATACTGAAGTTATACCTTGAGTCAACTTAGTCTCAACAGACTCCAGTCTTAAAGATTTTTGCCTTAAAGGGTTAATATATAATACCTTAAGAGAGGGTGAGCTGTTAGTCTGGATATTTACAGTAATTAGCCACTGTTTTTCTGGTTTTTATTCAAATATGGTCTACCTCAGAGAGACCTTCTTACAACAAAAGCTTTCCTTGTTCTGGACGAGTTCTCAGAGCCTCTACTGAGAATAGCAAAGAATGTGGTCACAGACCCAGAGATTTCCAATGAGGTCGATTTATCAATAAGATTGGTCACAAATTCATCAAAATGACTTCCTACTTCCTTCATAAAAATTGGCTTCAACGTTCCTCTTTTTCAATGTGCCTCTGCTGTCCACAGTCAGTATCTTTCTTGTCAGGTGCTGTTTCAAGTCAAATTGACCATTTTCTGGCATCTGCAGAGTCTCTTCCTGTGTGTACAATCTCTTCTTTATGTGGACTTTTCTTTTCTTCATCTTTTTCTTTAGATATGAACCAGTGACTTCTTATAAAAGGGTGCTTTTTATCCAACACAATGTTGGGTAACTGGGTGGCAATGGCTTTCCTGGAGACAGTGAACCAGCAAGTGTAGCTGTGCACTCAACTAGTTAGAAGCCCCAGTCCGCTTTGGTGCTACCTGCCCCCAGGCCAAGGAGATAGAGTTCCTGGGATTACTTCTGTTCTTTTGGGTCTCTTCCACCCCACCCCCAATATGCTCTTAAAAAAGCAAGCCATATGAAATGGAAATTCATATTCTCTTTTATGTTTAAATTCAAAATTTTTAAAGTCCAAAAAAACTTTTTAGAAAAAAACACAAACACCATTACACTCCTATACCTGAGCTGCAGATAATCATGCTGAATGGGTCCACTATAAATTTATGCTATCTAGCCTCAACTTGGCTTTCCTTGGTGCATGGGAATCCTAATCACTTATCTCTTTTTCTTTTTTTTTTTTTTTAAGGCAATTGGGGTTAAGTGACTTGCCTAGGGTCACACAGCTAGTAAGCTAGTTTCAAGTGTTTGGTCTGAGGCCAGATTTGAACTCAGGTACTCCTGACTTCAGGGCTGGTGCTCCATCCACTGCACCAGCTAGCTGCCCCCCACTTATCTCTTTTTCAATCTCTTCACAGAGGATCATTCCAAACCTTCTGAACCTTTCCTCCTCTTCACAGTGACCTCACTGACTACCTTGCTAAGAAGATCTGGGCCATGTAAAGGGAACTTCCTCAACGATCCTAATTCTTGCAGAAGAGAAGTTAATGGATTTATATATACCCTGGATACCATCTCTTCCATCACCTTGCTTCATTAGTCATCATTCCATTTTGTCTCATGCATTTTCCATTTCCTCTATTCTACTGGGTTCTTTCTCTCAACTTACAAATATGCACTGGTCTCCTTTATCTTTAAAACAGTAATAAAAAGCTTTTCTTTGCTTCTCCCAATTCCTCAAGCTACCATTTCCCTTCTCTTCTGACTCATTCCTAGAAAGAGTATCCTATACTCACTCACTCTCCAACATCTTGTAACCTGGCTTCTGCCCAAACCACTCTACTGAAATAGACTATTTCTATGACCCTTACCAAATTCAATGGTCTTTCTTCTATCATGATCCTATTTGACTTCTCAATAGCATAAGACACTGTGGACTATTCCCTCCTTTCCTTGGTTCCCATGACTCTACTCTAGTGCTTTTCTGCCTCTCTGATCATATCTCCTCTCTTTTATTAGCTCATCTTTGTCTTGGTCCTTAAACATGAATTTACCCTCAAGTTCTGTCTTAGGTTTCTCCTTCAGAATATCCATCCACTTGCAGTTCAATCCTTCTATCCAGACAACATTTCTCTAGAAACTAGTACTGTATTTCTAGTATGCCAGACTCCTAATAGTAACTGAAGACATCTCCTTTTCCTTTACCCTGTACAAAAGCAATCAATGTCTTGTTTATGCCTTGGCCCCTCCTTTTACTCCCACTGCAACTACCTTAATTTTAGGTCTACTGCCTAAAGTCTCTCTTCTCAAACCATCTTCTGTAAGTAATTTTAGGGCATCACTGTGATGTCACTTGTCAATTAAAAAATGGCCACCATTTCAATGCCTATTGAGTCAGATAGCTACTTGACTGACATTCAAGGCCTTCCACAACCTACTCCAACCTATCTTTACAGATTTCATATTATTTTCCTTGATGTGTTCTACACTGCAACTGAACTGAACTGTTCTCTAGCACCTGATCTCTTCCTGCTTAGATGAATACAACCTGAGGAGTTTTAATTGAAATGGCACTTAAAAATTTTCTGCCATGAACAGATACTTACTGCAGAGATGGATGTTCATCCACATGGGAAAGAAGTTACATTTTGAAATATTCTGGTTATGTTGATGATTCAGAAAGGAAATGACCCATAATCTAAACAATATCTTTCCCATACATAGCATTTTTTAATATTTCAAGGTGATCTCACACAAACATAATCTTACTTTATCCTCACAAGTAGGCAGAGAAAATAAGCATCTCTATCTTTCAGATGAGGAAACAGAAGCACAAAAATAGTTAAATGATTTATTCAAGGTCAAGGCAGAAATGGAACTAGAACCGACATTTTCTAATTCCCAGTCCAGTCTTCTTTCATGTTAATGTAAAGACAACCAATTCTGTACAATGGAATAAATTTTAATCCCACATTTTACAATTTTCAAATGTAAAATTCCCCAAATTATAGGACAACTGATATGGATGAAAAAAAAACGCTCATGTGTCCATAGGACAGAAAATTATAATTTTGCAGATTCAAGTTTTTTCCACAAAGAATTTTGAAACAGATATTGAAATACAACAAATGTTAAGGTGGGGAGAGGTCATCAAAATTTACATTAGCAAAAGATAAATACAAATAGAAAAAGCAGGACGGAAATCTCAAGAGTGTGTTGTGTGAATCTGACTTTTTGATGTCTAAAAGTAGCACTACTTTGGGAGACATTTTGAATATACTTTGTTGCATCTTAACACTTACATAATTTACTTAAATAAAAATTTTTTATTAGCAATAATGACATCATGTAGCCAATCACAAAATAAAGTTCCATGATAATGTATGTAAATCATTATGTATTTTAACACTTACATTCTGTTTCATGCTTATAGGCTCCTAAGGTTAACTGGCGAGATGTTGTTAATAACTGTTGCATCATTGCTGTTGGATCTTGAAATATCTAGAAACAACAATATAAAATAAATTTTAAGGCTTTCCCTTAAAAAAATGATTTGAGGTCTCATTCAAAAAAAATCTTACCATTTCATCATAGAACTCAGAAACCACAGTCTTTTTCCCCAGCATTGCATTGGTGTCTGACTGAAACAGCTTTAATAAGTGATAAAGTGTTACCTATAAATAAAAATAGATGACATGTAAGTATAGTATTTTCCATTATCATCACAAAATATGTCAGTCATGCGACTGTGTTAAGCAAAGACAGTGCCAATATAACAATAACATTCATTTATGTAGAACTTTAGGGTCGATAAGTGATTTACATACCTTTTGTTAACATGATCCTCACAACAACCAGCTCTAAACTAGGTATTATTATAATCTTTATTTTATAGATGAGGAAATTGAGGCTGAGAGAGGTTAAATGACTTACCCAGGATCATACAGCTGGTGTCTGAGGTAGGATTTGAATTCAGGTCTTCCCATTCCCCATGCCTACAATGCTTTCCCCTCCTCACTCTGCTTCCTATCTTCTCAGGCTTCTTTAATACTCACCTCAAATCCTACCTTTGCTCGAGGCCTTTCCTGATCCTCCCCTGCTACACTGCTACTACTTGCCTTCCCCTCAGCAGACAGACACACACATCTATATACGTATGAATATACAGACATCTACATCTATTATGTATATAGACACACATACATCTATACACATTTGTACATACAGGCATATACATGTGCCTAAATATATAAATGTACACACACATATTTATATACACATGTAATATAAATAGCTACATGCTGTGTCTCCATTAGAACGTGAACTTCCTGCGGGCAGGAACCATGTCTTTTTTTGCTTTTTTTTCAGAACAATGCTTGGGTACAGAATAAACAATGAATAAATGCTTACTGAATGACTGATTCAATTGACTAGGTGTCCCAACATCAAGTCCAGTGGTATCTGCCATACCACGTTGAATTCCAGACTTTGTTTCACTGACTTGGTGAAAGAAATCACCTAATGTCTTTATGCAGTTTCCTCATCTTTTAAAGATAATTACAGTGACCCTTTCTTGTTATGAAGAGAGGGGACAGAACCAGTAATGAATGGTCTGTAAAGCCCTTTCAACTATGCAAAGTGTTTATTAAAGATTAATATTGCTTTCAATTCCTTCAAAAAGACAGAATATCACATCAACTGGTGATGTCAATTCCATACATAACATTAAACCCACTGTCAGATAAATAATTTTCATCATCATCATAATAATTAATATTTCTATAGTGCCTACTATGTACACTGTGCTAAGTGCTTCACACATACTACTTTTGGTCTTCATAACAACTGTGTGGGGAAGGAACTATTACTACCCCCATTTTGCAGTTAAATAACCACCTAAGTTCTCAGAGTTAAGTGTGAGGCTGGATTTGATCGTGGGTTTTCCAGACTCCAGGCCTGGCTCTATTCACTGCTCTGTCAGCTTCCCCAAAACAGGTGCTCTCAAATTCCACATTACCAAACAGTTTTCTTTTTTTAAGCAAACAAACCAGGATTATTGGGAAAAGCTCAATAAAGGTGAACTGTCTTTTATACATTATGTGTGATGCTCAAGACTGCAGCTAAGCACATAACAAATGCTAATAAAATGAAAATGTTGTGTTTAAAACGAACAATTAACACATGCCTATAAAGAACAGGGGTGGCAAAGGTGATCTGTTAACCAGTTCTGTCAAGCAGGTGACTATGCCTGAGGTACTTATGACCAGTGACAACAGTGATCATAAGTCTGAAATTATCAATAACTAGCAAAGGAAAAATACTAAGACCAAGTAACCATATCATTAACTTGATGCTGATACTAATAAGATGTTAGTATTGGCATCAAGTCAAAATCATTAAAAATCTTATTTTAACTCTAGTCTATGGGCTAAATTATTTGCACATTCCAGAAAGAGAGGTATATTCAGTTTATACAGCTTTAACAGGGAAAACACACACACACACACATACACATACACACACACACACACACACACACACACACACACACTCTCTCTCTCTCTCTTATCATCTTCATTGTCAAACATATTCTTTCCCCATTCCCACACCGAGGAGCCATCCCTTGTAACAAAAAGTAAACTAGAGAAAAACAGTTCAGCAACACTAGCTGACAGAGTCTGACAGTATATGCAATGTCTAACAAGGCTGCTTAGTAACAGAGATCATTTCTCTCAGCAGACAGAAAACGGTTAAGAATCTGTCAAGCAATATTGTGGAAGCACTTGAATTGGGAGGGGAGAAATTGGTTTGGATCAGGTCTAAAACATTTTTGTGCCATGAACCCCAATGGCAGTTTGGTGATGTCTATGGACCCCTTCTCAGAATAATTTTTTTTTTAAAAATCTATCACTACATTTTCATAATGTCTATTATTTTAGAACTCATTTTATGCTCCCAATTTTTAATTTAATATTCTATTTCCGGTCCAATTACACGTAAAAACAATTTTAACATTCTTCCCCATACCCCCCAATTTTGAGTTCCAAATTCTCTCCCTCCCCCAGAAGGCAATCAATTTGATATAGGTTATAGAAGTACAGTCATCATGCCAAAATGTTACTTACAGGTCTTTCATTAGGATCAATGAAAAATATTTTGATGATTATTTCAAATTCACCCCAACCTGTTTCTGTAATCTCATATGGTGGCTTAGTAACAACTGAAAAGGGAAAAAAAAATAACATCAATGCAAACAACTGCTTTCTATTTTATTTTTAAAAATACTTTATAAATTAAAAATCAAAATAACATACCTCTTAAAGGATTACCATAGCTTTCATGCAATTTAAATTGGATTTTCTTCACATATGCTGACATATCCTAAAATAAAAGCACAATAACAGATTATGTTCTACTATTTGCAAATTAAAAGCACTAGGGGAACAGTAAATTGCGTAGGTAATATTTTAATTTAAAAAAAAGTGCCTCCAAAATACTTTTAGCTTGAACACTCAATTATTTTTAATTGTATAGGAAAGTTGGTGGTAAATACTTTTGTGTCCTACAAAGAATCAACCCCCAATTAATCTATTTTAAAGCCCAGACTTGCAATACAGGAAATTTACCTATATAAGACTATGTTCTTGGAAAAAGACTGTTGACTAGAATTTTTCCAAAGGGAAAAAATAGCAAATATGGGCATCATGTTCTTTACCAGGGGCCTGAGGCCTAGCTTTTTGTAGAAATGATCATAAACATAATATTCAATCATCTATAAACAAAATAAATGTATAGTATAAAACTTGACAGAGTAAATATGACTAGATTAAACATAATTAATCTCACAGAGAATCAAATTTTGGTTCAAGGAGGAAAAAAATAACAACTATCATTGGAAGTCTTTTTGTGGAGGTTGGATTTGTGGATTTTTTTATGGAGGAAACTTGCAATTTAGCTATCTAGGCTTGGCTGAGATATCTGAGGTCTTTCTCAGCTCTAAGATTCCATCATCCTAAGTCACTTGATGCTTTGGTCTTCAGGTTCCTTATCTATACATTGTGTGGCATAACAGAAACATCAGTTAACTGGGGAGACAGGAAAGCTGGATTCTAGTCTGAGCTCTGCCACTAACTAGCTATGTGACCCCGAAAACGGTCTTTCCGTTGCTGTGGGCCCCAGCTTCTTCATTTAAAAAGTGAGGAGTTTGGACAAAATGAGCTGTAAGATCTCTTGCATCGATAATATTCCAAGTCACATAAAACTTTTTAAAATGATAACATTGTAGCATACTGTATAAAGTTCTTAATGTTTTCATAATTCTGCTTTACTTCTATGCAATAAATCAAGTCAAAGAATACTACCAATGTCATATAATTCAGCTGGATAAACTGGGAAAACAGTAACAGGTATTTGAAAGGGGACTTCTGGGGACACTTAAGGCACCTGATAACTTGATAAACACCTCTGGATTACTACCTTCTTTTTCTTATTATAAATTTCCTAGCACCAAGAATAGGCATTAGAGATAAAACTCTTCAGTTTTCTTTGGATGCTATCAATTAGCTCCATCTCCTGTTATAGTAGACATATCTGGTCTTTATGAGTCAATTCTTTTTTTGCATTCATCATCTCTGATCCTTCACCACACTGTTGCTTCCAGCTTGAAAGCACACAGTGTTGAGTAGGGTCATGAATCTACAAAACGAAGTCTTTCCCATTTTAACCACAAATCCTGTACTTTTCCTAATAATGGTGTGTTTCAATTTTTCCTAGAACACAGCCTTTTACTTTATTTGCCCTGTTAAGTATGTTTAAGGATGCTACGTGACTATAAACCAGATTGAATTATTTTCTAACAATTATACTGGAAATTACAAATTCAAATGAATGCTGTTCTTCAAAGTATCTTACAATTTAGACTGGAAGTCATTGACTCAAATGGAGCAGCTATTGTTCAAAACAATTTTGAAATTCCTCTTTAAGAACTGCCTCCTGAAATGCTTCATAAGAACCAGCTTGCTTCATGGAGCTTTTGCAATTTCCCACTCCACTCTTCAAATCAATCATTTGTATTACTTACTCATGCCACCACCTAAGTGGCCTGGATTTAATCACAGGACTTATATTATAGCTATTTGTCTATTTTTCTCATTCCCCTTCCATTCTGCAAACTCCAGGTGGGTAGGGACTGTGTGTGGTCTTTGTATACACAAGACCCAGCTAGCATAATGCCCTGGACACAGCAGATGGTTAGGTTAGCTTCTCTTCTCTGCCATTTCCCTTGCATTGGAGTAAACCACCCACAAACTTAAAGAGCATGACTATAAAGAGCATGTAAGCAAGCACTCCATGGACAGATAGATTGGCTTCTTCATGGAATTTCACTTATGTTTTCTTTCCTTTGACTTTTTGTTAATGGCTCTTAGCTTGAAATCTTAGGAGTCAGCTATGACTCTTTACTCTCATGCCCTATTACGAGCGAAATGTAATTGAATCTACCTCTACAACTGTCATGGCATCTAGACTCTCTTTCCCAATGCCACCAGTCTAGTGCAGGTTCTCATTCTCTCCTGCTTGGATACTGCAGTAGCGTCTTACTGGTTGGTTCCCTGCTCTAATCACCACTGCCAGGGTGATCTTGCTCAGGCACCACGACGATCACTTAATTCTCCTGTCCAGAAAACCTGCCGTGGGCTCTCACTGCCATAAGTACAAACTGTTAAGGCTGGCACTCAACCCTCAGTCTGACTCTAACCCCTCTTTCCCAGTCTAATCTAACAACATTTCCATTACTAAAGCCTATGTTACAGAGAAAATGAACCAGTCACGAGCTCTGGCCATCACTCTGCCCTGTCCTAGCTCCATCCTTTTGCTCATTGCATCTCCCAGGCCCAGAAGGGTCCCTCCGCAGGTGTCCCTGATGAAACACTTCCCTCTCTAAAAATAAGACTTCATCTTTTATGAAGCTTCTCTGTTCCTCTCAGTTGGAACTTCAAAATGCTTGGCTGCACTTCGGATGAGCTCTTGAGCTGGTGCTTACTGTCTAATCTGTACTGAACTTATTGCCGTACATGGCCAAACTTGAGAACACCGACCATGTCTGACTTCTCTTTTGTATTTTAAATGCCTAGCACAACTGGCTTTCAAAGTCCTTCATAACCCAGGTTCCGCTCCTGCCTTTCCAGTCTTTTTACATCTTACACCCTGACTCTCTGACCCAATGACACCGGCTTCCTGGCTGTTCCAGGAACAATACGTTCGATCTCTCAGCTCTAGGCATGTTCTCTGTCTGTCCCCCATACCCGGAATGTTCTACTGCCTCATCTCTGCCTACTGCCTTTTCTGGCTTCCTTTAAATCTCAACTAAAATCCCACCTTCTACAGGAAGCCTTCCCCCACCCAGCTCCTCTTAATTTCAGTGCCTTCCCTCTGTTCATTATTTCCAACTTATCCTGATTTTAGCCTGTTTGTACATATTTGTTGTTTCCCCGATTCTTTTGCCGCTTTTTGTATCCCCAAAGCTTAGTACAGTACCTAATACATAGCTCTTAATATTTACTGACTGACCAACATTACTGGTCCTAAATACGTTTACTGAATTGAAAGGTGACACTGCAGATATCTGGTTAAGATGACTACTTGAATTGTTTCAGATCAGCCTAGCTTTCACACATGTACTGCAATAAGGTCTGAAATAAGCACCAGCTTGAACAATGATCAATAAATTAAAAGAGTAACTAAGGGAAGTGCCTCCATCTGGTCCAGGATTACACAAAAAAGAACTTAGAATCCTGTGGGTGCTGTGAAAGGAGTTTCACCAGCAAGTCAGAGTATATTCGAGAGAACAACCCAGAAGACTGTAATTATGCCCTAGAGATGCTCCTGGGGCCCTGGGAACAGCAGTCCTAAGGCCAGGAAGCACCATGGTGGCCAAGAAACCTGCAGCATTCTGACAGCAAATTCAGGGCAGAGAGCGCTCAAAATGGGACTCCCCAAAATGGGCACTAGAAGTTTGTGGTATAGACACATTAGAGAAAGTGGATACAAGGAAACAGGTCAGGACGAAAGGGTGCCTGCCCATCCTAACCAAGAGTTCAGAAGAGTAACTCCATAACAACTACAAGCAGAGCCTCAGAGAAAAAAAATGTCTTGGCTGTAAGTACTACAAGAGTACCCTGGAAAAATGAAGTGACAGATAAAAAAGCAGATTAAAAACAAAGTGAAACAATGGCTGTGAAATAAAGAACTGAGAAATGAATATATAAATTAGAACAGAAGATCTTATCCAACCAAGAGATTCCATGAAAATTATTAGACTTGAGAACAGGGACTACTTTTTGCCTTTCTTTGAATCCTCAGTGCTTAGCAATGAGCTAAGCTAAATTTGTTTGCTGAATGACTGAATCAAATAGAAATCAATGATTCCAAGACACAACCAATAAATAATAGAACAAAGTCGAATGACTGAAAAAAATATTAAAAAGCTATCTACAATTTTTAAAAAGCCTGGAATACAAGGAGAGATAATTTAAGAATCTTAAAGTTCCTGAAAACCATGACAAAAAAAAGCCTGGATATTTCAAGAAATTATGAATGAAAACAGGCCAAACCTATAAAAATCAGGAGACAAAGTAAAAACAGAAAGAATTAAGTCACTCCCTAAAATAAATCTCAAAATGAAAATTCCCAGAAATTTGGAGTTTCAAAATTAAACAGAAATTACTGCAATCATCTGAAAAGAAAGAATTCAAGTACCATAGAACCACAGTTAGTATCACATAGGATTCTGCAGCTGTTACTTTAATGGAGAATAAATCTTAAATCATGATGTTTCAAAGGCAAAAGATAAATGCATAAAACCAGGGATAAAGTGCTGCGCAAAACTAAATATAACCCTACAGAATGAGGAAAAAAATGACCTTTTAATAGAGCAGAGCACTTTTCAAGCATTCTTTGTAAAAAAAAAAAAAAACCTGAAACAAAAACCCTGGGGTGGGGTAGGGTCCAGACACTCCCTTAGTAGTCGTTAAATTGTGAGCTCCTCAAGACCAGGGACTATTTTTTTTGCCTTTCTTTGTATCTTTAGTGCTTAGCCCAATTACCGGCAAATAGTAAGTGACAGTGATGACTGACTGAGGCAGGATTGCCAAAGACTCCAATTATTAGGGGTAAGGACTCACTATTCAACAAAATCTCCCAGGAAAACTGGAAAGCAGAGTGGCAGCAATTTGATTAAAACTAACATCTAATACCATATAACCCAAGTTCCAAATGGATACATAACATAGATATAAAGGGTCACATCACAAATAAATTAAAGAAGAATGGAAAGGGATACTTTTCACAAATATAGATGGAGAAAGAATTCTTGAACAAACAAGGGCCAGGAAAGATCACAGCAGATAAAATGAATGCTTTTGCTTACATAAAACTGAAACATTTCAGTACAAGCAAAATCAAAGTAGGCTGAATTAGAAGGGAAATAGTTAACTAGGGGAAAAAAATCTTTACAGTAAATTTCTCTGATAAAGGCCACAGTATATAGGAAACTGATTTAAATATATAAGACAGACAATTATCATTCGACCATTCTCTTGAACATACGTTTACTTGTTACCAAGGAGTTTTTTTTTTTAATTAAGGGTGGGGGGTCAGGAAGGAGACATGAGCTAGTTAGTGATAGTGATATTCCACCTCCCAGACTCTAAGAGAAAACAGCATCATTGAGACAATTTTTTTAAATGTAGAGAACAGAAAAGGGTTCAGAGGGAGCCAAGTTCAGAGGGAGCTTTGAAGCTCACATTCTGAATTACATACCTTTAAAAAAAATCCAAAATAAAAACATTCACAATGATTAGTGGTTTCATATACAATCCTCTTATTCTGTTCTTTATATATGGAAACATTCATGTTTATTAGCATAAAATTCAAAGTAACAAAAAAATTAATTAAAATTCACCTTAAGTATTACAAAGTTGTAACATGGATATAACTCAATAAACAGCATCATAAAGGAAAATAACTAAGTTGAAGTATATATAATTTTACTAATGTAAGCATGTTTAAAACTTTTATTGCATCTACCATCCTAACTTTACATTTGTAGAAATTTAGTATTTCAAAATTGTTTCCCAATGTAAAACTAAAGCCAATGATTTAAGAATTATGTTACTATGCAAATAATACCTTACGGTATTTATTTTATATAAGACCCCTGCAGCAATGGAATACTTTCCAGTCCCAAATTTTAGGCTAATATAATATCTGTAGCATGTTTCTTACAGTCAGCAGCAATAGTCATACAAGTGGTGGTATTATAACCTTTGGGTAAGTTAAAAAATGTCCTCCCATGAAAATGGCAAACTAAAAATATATGACCTTAAGAACTTTATTATGTTTTGAGATATTTCAATGAAAATAAATTTAGAAAAACTGTTACAATTGTTTATAAAAGGCAAAAATATTTTTCTTACCTCATTCCTGTACGGCTTTACATATACCGTCCACTGATGAGTATGACCATCTTCTTCTCTTTTCTTTCCAAAATAACGAGCAACATTACCATAAACTATAGGTTTAACAATAGTAACCCCCTAAAAGAGAAATTATTTTAAAACTCACTAAACATTATATTATGACTCAAAAACTAATATTAGATAGAAGTCCTAACAATTTACTATAGCTGCCAGAGAGCCAATAATTCAATGGTAACATTTTTATTTCCTTACAGTACATCAATTTTGGATTAATTTTATAAATGTCTATAATGCACAAAGTTAAACATTATAATATATATAGTTCTTTTCTGGAAAATATGTGTAATGATTGTGCAAAACACTTTAAATGTAAATAGGAATAATTATTTAAACGTTTATCTTTTAAATTCTTTGATGCTATTTTATTGTTACTTGCCAGTCCAAACTAATTCAATTGCAAATAGGAATAATTTTGCTTGTGAAATTGATTAGACAATGAAAAGGTGTCAAAGTTTTTCTTCCACCAAAACTTTAACAATAAAGGCAGCAGGAAGCAGCTAGGTGACAGCAGATAAAGTGCTGGACTTAGAATCAGGAAGAACTGAGTCAAATCTAGCCTCAGACACTTGCTAGCTGTGTGATTTTGGGCAAGATCACTCTGTTTCAGTTTCTTCATCTGTAAAATGGTGATAATAACACCTACCTCCCAGGGTTGTTTTGAGGATAAAATAAAATGCAATGTTCTTTGTAAAGTGCTTTGCAAACCTTAAAGTGTTATAAAAATACTAATTATTATAAGCTTCTGATTTATACGTGATGCTAAAACACTACATGGCATGATACCTGTTTGTGGGAAGTAAAGCACAGTAAGTGAACAAATGCCATTCACTACAGGCTTAATCCTTGCAGCCTTCACCTTCATCAAACATTTAGCAAGTTCACACTTGGGGTACCGTTGTCATGGGCATTGTCAGCCTTTTGAAACAAGGTCCAACTGCCACAAGGTCCAGTCACTTACTCCATGTCCTTGACATATTTTAACACAAGTTGGCTGTTAAATATACACACAGGGTAGGATGTAGTACGGAGGGGAGAGAAGATAAGACAAGCAAATACCTTCAAATTCTGACAGTTCTCCAGTTAGAACAATCGATCAACAAGAATTTATTAAAGGGGCAGCTAGGTGGCACAGTGGATAGAGCACTGGCCTGAAGTCAGGAGGACCTGAGTTCAAATCCGGCCTCAGACCAAACACTTGACACTTACTAGCTGTGTGACCCTGGGCAAGTCACTTAACCCCAATTGCCTTTAAAAAAAAAAAAAAGAATTTATTAACCACTTAATATGTGCCAGGAGCTGCGGAGAGGGACTTCATCTGTGATTTCATTGGTACAGGGAGCTCCCTGACCAACACAAATCATCTAAGCAAAATTGGAAAGAGACAAAAAGTGAGACAGCCCTTGCCCTCAGGGGGGCTGATATTCTACTGTAGGAGGAGATCCATGTTCACACTTAAGTAAAAATTGATTTTTCTGAAGGGCAGCACCAGTTCTGTGATTTCCAAGGATGAGGAAATGCCCTTAATCAGTGTAGGTCAGCACCTACTCAGAAACTCTTAAGATTTTCTGGGGCACTGTGACTAGCTCAGGATTACACCTATTTATTTTCTTTAAAAGAATCACAAAGCAATTCTTCTCTCTCTATTTATTTGAACATACCTTTATATTAGGTTCACAGATTTAGAACTGGAAGGGATCTTGGAAGTTAGGAGTAGCCTGAGGCACTTCAAGGTCAAGTGCTTTTTCCCCAGGATCATTCAGCATTTACTCTCTTTATATTTCTTCTGTATGTTCTTGTATACCAGAGTCATAGATCTGGAGCTGGAAGGGACCTTTGTTGTTGTTGGTCGGTAGCGTCCGACTCTTCGTGACCCCATCTGGGGTTTTCTTTGCAGACAGTCTGGAGTGGTTTGCCATCTCCTTTTCTAGCTCATTTTAGAGCTGAAGAAACTAAGGCAAACAAGGCTAAGTGATTTGCTGAGGGCTGCCCAGCTAGTAAGTGCTGGAGAATGGATGTGAACTCATGAAGCTGCATCTTCCTGATTGCAGGCTTGGCACTCCATCTACTGCACCACCTAGCTGTGGAAGGGAGCTTGGAGGCTGTCAAATCCTACTCCCTTCTTGTTGCTTGTTCTTTGTTCTCCAAGGAGCTGACGCCATGACATCAAAGTGAACTGGATTTCAGTGAGGGAAAGCTGCTGTGCAAAGCCACTAGCCTCCAGAGCCCTCTGGGTCCAGCGGCCACATACAGATCAGGACAACTGGAGAAGGCCACGGATGTAGTAGGAGACCGTGGCCTTTTTAAGCTAATGTCTTTCCCAGGTCTCAGTTTGGCCTCCTACTCCTTTATTTTATAGATGGATGAATCAAGCATTTGTTAAAGGCTTACTACCTGGTAAGTAAGTATTGGGGATACAAGGAGAAAATGACAGTTCCTGACCTCAAGGAGCTCACATTCTAAGTGGGGGAGTCAGAACATACTGAAAGTTTGAATGCCCCTTCGTTAATGTCATTTCCACCGGTAAGATATCAGTTTCTGAGGCTGAACCATTTGAGAGTGCCAAGGATTTTGTCCTAATGAGGAAACCGAAGCTGACTTAATAAGTGACTGGTCTGGGGAGGCAGGATTTGAACCCCGCTCTTCCTTTTTCCCAAGTCCAGCCTTCTATCTACTGAACTACATACATCTTCCTTATCTCCTCAGAATGTAGGGAGTTTACTAGCAGTGTGACCGTGGGTAAGTCACTTAACTTCTGACCGCCTCAGTTTCCTCCTCGGTAAGCGGGGAATACCAACAGCACCCTACTTCACTGGGTTGTTGGGAGGATCAGCAGTACTAATATACACAAAGCACTTTGCAAGCGTTAAGGTGCTTGCAAAGCACTTCATAAATATACTAAAAATAGTAAATGATAAATAAATGCTAGCCATTATTATTATTAATCAAAAATGGGGTGTCCCCAAAGTCCGAGTGCAGTTGTTAGCACCGCTAGCTCTGTACCACCCTGTCCTTAGGGAGGGGGTTGTTTCATTGATTATATCTGTATCCTCGGCGCCCGGCACAAGGGTAGGCACAGAGCAGGCACCAAACACATGCTTGATGACAGATGATGACTGCGACGTCAGGGACGAGTCTCCCTAACAGCCCCTCCACGCGGTCTCCCGCAGGGATAAACACAGAGAGGCCAAGACTCAAATAAAAAGGAAGTCAGGGGAGGAGCCGGAGCAGTTGAACCGGAAGGAAAACAGCACGAGCGCCTCGCCCCTACCCTCCCTTCATTCTCGCTTTTCTCCCCTCCCCCCACTCCCGGTCGTTATCCGGCACCCCTCTTCCCCCCGGCCGACACCGACCTTCACTCTCCCGCCGGAGTCAGGCCCAAATTCGGCCATTCTCTTGAACATATTGCACCGGGGGAGAAGCCGCCGCCGCCACTGCTGCCACCGCCGCCGGGGAGAGAGGGCCGGGGCCCCTCAGCGGCGCCGAGCGCTCCTCCCGCCCGGGCCTCGCCGCCTGCCTGGTCCGAGAGGAGGCGAACCACCGGGGCCCGTGGGGCCGCGAGCCCGCCTGCTCCGCTGGGCAGCGTCCGTGAGGCCCATCCAGCCCCACGAGAGCGGGAGGAAGTGGGGGGAGGAGGAGGGAGCGGGCGAAGGGAACCGCGCGTGCCCGGGCGCGCGCCCTCCTGCGGGCTAGCTGCGCGCCACTGCGCCTGCGCGGGGTGGCTGCGTCGGCGGTGTCGCTGCGTCTGCACGCGCTAAGATGGGGCGGTTGTAAACGAACTGCTACCCGCGCTTTGTGGTTATCTTGTCACTTAATTCTCACAGCCCTGGAAGTTGGCAGGGGTTGGGGTGGTCTGTTATCCCCAGTTTACAGATGAGGAAAAGGAGGCAGACAGATTAAGCGACTTGCCCCGCTAGGTCGCTTTCGAACTCGAGTATTTCACCTCCGTAGAGAACCGGGAGCAGAAAGTGTCGCCCCCTCCTGGCTCCAGGCGGGAAGGACCGTAATGCACCTCCTCCTGTCTTTAGCGGAATTTTGCTGGAAATGTCCTGAAGTCCTGACAATTTATGTAGTTTTATTTTATGTAGTTTTATTTTACATCGTGTATTAGGGGCGTGCTGATAAACATTTAACAACTGGCTCTCTGAAATAACCTAAAGTTTCACCTGTAGGAGCTGTCTCCAGCACACCACTCCCTGTACCTTTGCTGGTTTATTAATTAAATAATCAATTTACTTAATTAAAATGATAAATTGTTTAAATTAATTTTTCGTTGACTCTTTAGGAATATGTAACCTAGGAATTCTTAAGGGTTTTTTTTTTTTGTATCATGATTCCCTTTTTTCAGTCTGGTGAAGCATATGGACCCCTTCTTAGAATAAGGTGTCTAAATACATAAAACACAATATTTAGTATTATGAAAGAAACCAATTATATTGAAATGCAGTTATTAAAATATTTCTGGTTAAGAACCTCTGCCCCAGATGGTATCTTTTCTTATGTGCAGAGGTGGCCTTTCCTGATGTCCCTTAATAATGCCTTCCCTCTGTTGGTTATCTCTATATACCTTGCTTGTGATTCTTTGTTTCGTTGTTGTCTCCCTCTTTACATTGTGAGGTCCTTGAGAGCAGGGACTTTTTTTTTTTTTTTGCCACATGAAGCCTATTCTGATTTCCACAAATGCTAAGGTCCTTCCAAATGACTTTGTATTTAACTATTTTATATTTATTTCCTTTATTGTATGTATACACACAAATGTGTATGTTTGTAAATTGACCACTCCATTAGAATGTAAGCTCATTAAGCAAAAAGCTTTTTTTATTCCTTATATTTGTATCCTCAGAGCCCTGCCTGCCACATAGGGCTTAATAAATGTGGATTGATTGATTGTTGTCTTGGTTAATTTTGCTGAACTTCTGGCTGAGTTAGGAGAGAGGAAGATATTTGAAGATCAATATGATGTTAAAACAAAAGATATCAATGAAAGAAAGAAAAAAAGGAAAGGAAGGAAGGAAGAAAAAAATTTTTGTCCTTGAAATACTCAAAAGCACTCGTGAATACTGGATGGAAGATGAGGCAACAGTACAGAAATACCGCATTCCCAAAAGTGGTGGTGATGGGAGCAGGACGGGGAATTTTGGAACAAAATACAGGAAATAAAACCCATTTTCATGCTGGAAAAAAAAAGACAATGGTAAGCCAACAAAAGATTTTAGAGCATGGGCATAATCTGATCAGACCCATGCTTTTTTCAAGATTTTGTCAGCTGTATGAATGGATTAGAGAAGGGCAGAGGCTCAGGTAAGACCAGCTGGGTCATGGTTCACGTGAAAAGTCATAAAGGATGAAAGTAGAATGGTGGCAGCAAAAGTGGAAAGAAGGAGCTGGACCAGTATTCTCAAACTTGTTTTGCTAATGGAATGGGATTCTTCTTGAGGTACATTATAGGAGAGTGTAGAATTTGCATATAGACATACAATTGCAAGTGTAAGTTTCATGCATTTAGTTCCATATGTAAGTTCCGTACATTTGGTGGCACCTCCCTTTGAGAACCACTGGGATAGACAACAGACTTGTTTGAATTGCGATTTTGTTTTCTTGTCAGTCAGAGTATTGGTAAAGAAACCTTTATGCCTTGGGGGTTAAATCAAAATGGCTAAAATCTCTACACACAGATCTCATATATATTTAGATGGAAGGAGGTACATAAGAATACTAATGCTTAGGCATTTGGGTGATGAATTCCTGGTTTTCCAGGATCTATCTGGGCCAAGCCAAATAGACCTATCACTAACCTCTTGCTTTAACAAATTGGCAACCAGAGTCCCAGTGACAATTTCTGAAGTGTGGAAGAAAATTGCAAGGATTCAAAGGAAGCTCCCTCAAAGTGATTAAAAACTAGAAAAAGAAATGCTGCAGTACTGATTGTTGAGGTTTTTGTAGTACTTTTTCATGATTCTGGGATTAAAAGGTGGTAAGGATAGTTTATCCTTCCAATGTCTCTTTGAAAAGCCTCAGGGGAAGTGATATTGCCATGGGTAAGAAAATCAAATTTATTTCTTAAATACACTGGCACCTGCTCAGCACCCCACTATTCCCAATGATAAACCAAATTTTGTAATTCTTACATTCTCTGTTGGGAAAGAATAATTGGAAGTTGTTGCTGATGGGGAAAACACTTATGACTAAAATAATCATAACATAGAAATAATGTTAAGTGATGTGATTTTTTGAAGTTTACAAAGCACTTTGCATATACTCTCTGATACTTTTGGAATGCAAAGGATGGATCATAGAATCATAGATTTAGAGCTGGGAGGGACTGGAGGACTTACAAGGTATGATAGATTATTCCTTGGTAATGTATTTACCATCGATTCCTTTCTGATTCTACCATGATTATATGGCCCTTATCATCTCATACCTAAACTATTGAAACAGCCTCCTAACTGCTTTCCCTGCCTTCAGTCTCTTTACTCATTCCAATCTATCTCATACACTACCAACAGATTTATCCTCTTATGGTATAGCATTGCAAGTTGCTTCTCTGCTCAGAAACTTACAATAGCTCCTCATTGCCTATCAGATCAATTTCACTTTCATTAGCACAGCATTCAAGTACAATTGGTTTGAAATTGGTGAACTAACTACCTAAAGGGCAGTTTTTGACTGGAATTTTAATGTGGAATTTTGTCTCCAATGGATTGGTCTCAGTGATCTATCCTTAGCTCTGTTCTAGTAAACATTTTTATCAATGACTTTGAGGATGCTTTTCAAATTTTCAGAGGGCACAAAGGTGGGAAGGATAGCTAGTATGTTGAATACAGAAACTATTAACCAAAGAGAGCTTGACAGTTCCACAAAAGATGGGATCGAACAGGAAGGAATTGATTAGAGAGGAAGGTAAAGTTCTACATTTAGGTTAAAAAAAATTCAAGTATAGAATGGTGGAAATACAGCCCAATTAATATTCCTACAGTACAAGTCTGACTGTGCCACTTCCCTGCTCAAGAAGCTGTAGTGGCTTCTAGGATAAAACATAAACTCCTCTTTTTGGTTTTTAAAGCCCTTCACAATCTGGTTCTAGCCTACCTTTCCTGGCTTATTACATATTATTTCCCTTCATGTACTCTGTGTTCCAACCAAACTGGCCTACTTTTTGTTCCCTTTATCCTACATTCCATTTTCTTCCTCCATGTCTTTGCATAGGCTGGCCTCTATACCTGGAGGTCCCTCTTTACCTCTACCTTATAGAATCCCTAGCTTTCTCCGTCTCAAAAAAAGTGCCACCTCTTATACAAGGCCTATCCTGATTCTCCAAGTTACTGGAGCCCTCTCTGATTATGATTTGTACTTTCTCCGTACCTAACTCACCTCCACATCAAAGCTAAACTTTCAAAGGGTTGGTCTTGAGTCAGGCCCAACTGAGCCTTACTGAGTCTTACCTGAGCCTCTGCCCCTCTCTAATCTATTCATACAGCTGACAAAATTTTGAAAAAAAGCATAGGTCTGATCAGATTATGCCCGTGCTCTAAAATCTTCTGTTGCCTTCCCATTGTCTCTGGAATGAAATAAAAAATGGCATCAAAATACATTTTATTTCCTGTATTTTGTTCCAAAATTCCTTCTCCACTTTTGGGAGTGGGATATTTCTGCACTGTTGCCTCATCTTCCATCCAGTATTCACGAGTGCTTTTGAGTATTTCAAGGCCCAGTGCAGAACATTTCCCTTTCTTCGGAAGTCCCAAACACATTGCTCACTTCCTTGGGGCTTACCTTCCAAAACACCAGCAACTTGGTCTTCTCTTTCCCCTCAGGATAAATTCACTGTGAGACAACCTAGATGACTGGTGAGACCTCCCTTCATGTATTGTCTTTCCCCATTAGAATGTAAGCCTGTCTTGTTTTTCATATTCCCGTGCATAGTGCTTGGCACACAGTAAGTGCTTAATAAAGGTTTTTCTGGGGAATGTTGATCTAGCAACTTACAGGGTTGATAAGTTGATCCAAAGGGCCATAGTAGTTTTGATTTGATTTCTGTGCCCAGAGCAAGAGATAGACACGTGGACAAGGATGGGCATGAATGATTGAATGAGATCTGAAGTATGGTTTGGTCTAGGGTATAGTAGGGTAGGTGCATTTGCGCTTACCAATCAAGAAAGCTCAGTTCTTTTTTTTTTATTAATTTATTTTGATTTATCAATAATCACTTCCATATTGCTTTTGAGTTTGAAATTTTTCTCCCCCTTCCTCCCCACCACCCTCCCTGAGACAGCGCACAATCTGATATGGGCTATACATTTACATTCTTATTAAACATTTTCACATTAGTGATATTGTAAGTAAAAGTTAAAACCAATAGGAGGAACCATCAGAAAGAGGAAACAAAACTCAACAGAAGAGAAAAAAAATAGCGATTCAACTTCCATAGTTCTTTCTTCGGATGTGGACAGCATTTTCCATCCCAAGGCCTCTGGAGATGTCTTAGATCCTTGTATTACTGGGAAGGGTTAAGTTTATCAATAAGAAAGCTCAGTTCTTGAGCAAGGGTTTTAAAGCTGAGATGAATGGTCCCTTCCAGGACTTGGGGCGATGGCTTCTGGAATTTCTTTCCTGGTGGAGAGAAGTGAGGCCTTGGTGGGGCTATTGGCAATATGGTCCTAGATGTGGGACTGCTGGATGGGATG